CCCAAGTCAGCTGCTGCTGAAACTGACCAGCGCTGACTACAGGAAGCCCAAGGCAGAGTTGCTCTGCCCCGGGCTTCCTGGAATCAGCCGCTGATCAGTTTCAGCAGCAGCTGACTTGGGGACGCTTGGGGTTCTTAAGTTGATTCTGTATGTAAGTCGGAACTGGCGGTCAGTTTCAGCAGCGGCTGAATCTGGACGCCAGATCCAACTTACATACAGATTCAACTTAAGAACAAACCTACAGTCCCTATCTTGTACGTAACCCGGGGACTGCCTATATTGCATTTTTGATGCAGTTACAGTACTGTTTATATATAACTCTGCATTTGTATGTTCAACTTTCATACTAAAGAAATTGCACTACAGTACTTGTATCAGGTGAACTGAAAAATACTACTACTTTTGTTTTTTTACAATGCAAATATTGGAAAAAAAAATATAAAGTGAGCATTATACACTGTATTCTGTGTTGTAACTGAAATAAATATATTTGGAAAATATACAAAACATCCAAAATATTTAAATAAATGGTGTGCTATCATTGTTTAACATCACAATATTCATATTACTAGCATAAATATGAGGTGTAGTGTCACACAAATGCCTTGAGGGCAGGGTCCACATTTATGTCTTTGGACTCTGGGTACTACTGTTGCTAACAAACATCTCAATTCATACTGTGTTGGGATTTTGCTGTATGCTTTAACAGGGCTAAATAATTGTGTAGTGGATTGACTATATATTCTTAGAATATCAAAATCATCACATTTTAAAACAACAATTATCTTAATCTCTTTTTAAAAGGTCTAATCATGGTGGCAGGCAGACACACCTCCTCCATTTTAATTTTCCCTCTGCTTGCTCCCATATGCCACAGAAAATCAACAGAAACAAAGGCTAAATAAAAATAAAACCTTAATACCTGTTTCAGAGCAAACGCAACAGCAAAGCAGTATGCTCGTTTTGGCATGCTCTCCCTTTTTAACTGAGCCTCTTCAAGTAAGTTTGTGCAGATTTTGCAAGACTCTGGGCTGTTCTGTATAGACATTTAAATTCACACTGTGATAGTCAGTTTAGAGAAGCAGCAAAAGCTGCACATGATTTCAGAATGTTATTGACTATATTTACTGCACATAAAATACATACATCTCATAGGTCATAAGAATAACAAGACATGCATCTTTTCAAATAGTCATCTCACCTGAACCACCAAAGTAGACAACACTAGGTCAGGAGAGCTTCACCTGAACCAAACTACACTACACTATATGGCAGATTCTGTGCAGCACTTCCTGAGAAGGATAGCACCGAAAGTACAAACAAGGGGAGGAAGGACTGTGGGAGTAAAGATGATTTTAGTTTAAACCACATTTGCGTTACTTTGCGGGCTGCTCAGAGGACTAAATGGTTCTACGACCATTGTGCTTAGCACGATGGACACTTCCCCCTCCCACGGCCTGTATACCTCCTAAGCAAACTGACTTTTCATTATTACATCTCAAAATGCATCTTTCAATCTGCACTGGATCACAAAGGAAATTGAAGTACTATTAATCTAAGTGAAATCTGTACTCTGCTACTTGAGAATTCACCTGTTTCCATAAGTATTATCTCTTGTATATTTTAGAGATTTGTGTGGCTGTCTGTGAGTCCATTTGTTCAAGAACTCCTGCTAAACAATAAGAGCTAGGACCACTAAATTTGGTATGCAGCTTCCTTTTATCCTATCTTAAAGCCAGGTCAGGGTTCAGCTGTGCCAGGAAATTGGAATGTGCCTGGAATTACAGTAAAACTCCGATGGTCCAGCATCTGATGGTCCGGCACTCCTGATGGTCCGGCACCATGAAATGCTCCGGGCAGCCAGACCATTGGAACTGCTCTACCCCAGGCGTCCTGATTCAGCTGCTGCTAAAACTGACCAGCGGCTGAATCGGGGTCACCTGGGGCAGAGCAGCTGGGATGCTGCCGGGTTGGTCCAGTAGCGCCAAGGAGCGGTGCTGCGGGACCAACCGGCAGCGCCCCACCTGCTCTACCAGAGGCCCCGGGCTTTGCT